AATAAATATCTATATTTTTCTTAATTAAATTTATTATTGTAATTTATTTTACAACTTCAAAAATTAATAATTAATATGTAACAAATTATTAGATTTGTTAATGAAAATAATGAAATAAAATATTTATATTTACAATTGAAATTCAATTTTACATTATCTCACCTCGAATGTCAATAGAAAAATAGAAGATGGTCTCTCTTTTAAAAAAGGAATATCATGATGGTAGAAGTCACTATTGGGTTTTCCAGGAAAAATAAGTGGGTCTCAAGTTAGTTCAAAATTTTTTTTCCTAATTTTTATTAATTTCGGATCGGATATCCGATAACATTGCAAATCGGATATGGATTTAGCAATTAAATATTTGTTGGATTATCGGATCGAATAAATTTTCTTATCGAATCGGATCGGATATAGGCAGATTCAATCCATATCCGATCCATTTACAGCCCTAGTAGCAAGTCCATCCCATCCACCAGCATTGCTATCTCCACCACCAGCACTTCCTCTAGTTGTACCTCCACCACCAGTAGTTTCACCACCAACACTTCCACCGGTTGTACCTCCACCACCACCAGTGGTTTCACCTCCAGCACAATAAATTAAATTAAATTTATTGTGTGTTTTGTTGCAAAATTCAAATTTTAATTTAATTTCTCATGGATCGACAGCTTAGACTCGTTCCAAATGTATGAATTGCAATGGAAACTAGTTATCAAGTTTTCACCACCATAATTTTCATTGTTTTCGATTTAATGCTCTCGATAATAAATCCATCATTTGGTACCCTTCTTCTTATAATAGGAAGGGTTGGAAAAAAGCAATATAACCTGCAATGGCAACTGAATAGCCTCATCTCACTTTCTCAGCTACAAAGCCTCTGACATTTGAATTTGTTCTCCAAATCTTGGTCAATTCTATCCAGGCTCGATTTTTTTCTAAATCTTTGTTGAAGGAGAAGCGCCCCTCGACACGGAATTAGTGGGTGGCGCACTACGGTGTTTGTGGTCACTGTATTTAGTGGGCTGGGAGATTTTGAAGTTTAGGGGATTTGTTTTAGTTTAGGGCGTAATTAATACGGGGATTTATGTGATGTTTAATTAATTTATGGTATTAATCTAATTGGGTCAATTTTTAGAACATTAGGCCTAATTTGCTTCGTGCATCACGAAAATTCTCCATGACACTCACTGTTCAGTCAGTCATTGGATCCTACAGTTTTAGGGAGGTTTTGTTGAAAGACAGTAGAAGACACAAGGTAAGGATTCCTGTTGTAGCCATGGTTATAAGCGATAGGCAGGTCACAAGTTAATGGCATGTTTGTACTGAACAGTCCAATTCATCTTACCAAACATGTCATTGTGTCACTGTTATGGGATTCTTTGTGGTATGTGAAAAATAAGATTGCATAAAGTCAGATGTATTTCAACGAGCAAATATGTAAGAAAATATATAAAGATAAATAGTACGAGGTCGAGATGTCTCGTTTCGTCCAATCTAGTTACTTGTGCTTATTTGTTCAATGCTATGGTGAGAATGCTTTGATTCCCCACTACGTTGGAAGTAGCTTGGGTTTTAACTTTTAAGGAGATTGATAGAGTTCGATATCCTTCTCTCAAGTTACTTGTGCTTATTTGTTCAATGATATGGTGAGAATGCTTTGATTCCCCACTACGTTGGAAGTAGCTTGGGTTTTAACTTTTAAGGAGATTGATAGAGTTCGATATCCTTCTCTCCTGTATTTTTGACTGCTCTTGTAATAACTATTTATAGTTAGCTAAAGTATCATATTTTTTGCATTTGCAATATTCTGAGGATTGTGTTAAATATCAATTTACTTTTCCTTCTTGCAACATGAACAATAAATATTGGGATTAAATCTTATGTAGCTTAAAGAAAGAAAATAATAATTAATAATATACAAGGATTTGAACTACTCTTGTTATGATTAGCCTTTTAAGATAAATTTTCAAGACTCAAATTGTATGATAACTGGAAGGAAAAGGAGAAGGTAAATTAAGTGCTATGCTTCTCAATCTTTCACGAAGAACATAGTTTGATAGTGCACGATATGCAAGCATAGACTAGACAGGACATGCAATCTTTCATGTTGAGAGTGCACGACGCACAACATTGTTTGAGATTGTCAAAAATAGAACAAGAGATATTTTACTGTAAAATTTTCAATATATACTCTGATTTTGGGAATTCTACTTGAAAGAAGAAACATTGGGAAATCATAACTATATTAAACAGAAAACTGTCCCTGCTGGGGCCATATTTGCAACTTCTACAAAGGTCACCCAAACAGTGCCACACAGTTTTTGTCCAGATATAGGAATGTAATAAATAGCCCAAAATGGAGGAAAAAATTTAACAAGAATCACCGTCCCCAAGGAAGCAACATTGGCAGCAAAGTTCACTCATCAGCTCGGATTAAAATCACATTCGCAGCTCAGCCAGTTGCCCTTGCACTCAAAAAGAAGCCATCTTAGGGAGCGTACTCAATGCTATTTCACGAGAGGCACACAACAACAAGAATGGAGACAGACAGGGGTCGAAAGAAACTCTTGAATCGACCAAAGAATCAATACTTGATATTGTCACTCCACTCAAATTGATGTATAATTAGGGAAAAGGAGCATCAAATTATCTAGGGTTTCAGGTAAGAATTTCCTTGCAAACAAGTAACAAGGTCGCTGATTTCCATTCCATAAGCATGGCCTAATCTGAATTTCCTTCTGCAGCACAAAAGAACGACCGTCTTCTAAATACAAATATTAAAAAAAAAAAAAATCATCAAAGAAATGTGTTTCGTGAAAGATACTAACCACTTCTTCACTTGTAACGTGCAGAGACTCTGTAATAGACTACAAAAATAGTGGAAAGGAAGTGTCAATATAGATTCATTTTCCAACAAAAACAAAAAATGAAAAACTTAGATGCAACATCAACGCAACATTTTTGCTCATTAAAATGATTAGGTTGCGAGGTCATAGTGTCACAAATTTGCAGTTCGAACAAAGATGGACTTGATGTTACAGATGCAGATAAGTTGATGAAATAACTTGCTTGTCCAAAAATATAGTTGAGTATATAATTCTCAGAGGTTTTAACAAAAACTTGACTATGTCTCCTCAAAAAGTGCAGAATCTGCGGGAAATGTGCCTAAATAACTCCTGGGATAAGTTGGGACGTTGCACTTAAGAAAAACATATGAGGCTTCAAATGCAATTAATTAAAAGTTCAGAGAAAGCTTAGCGGTACTGTAATATTTCTCATCAGCTCATAAGAGACATCCTGCTTGCGATATGATTTTGGATGCCACTTCCCTTCAGACCAATCCACGTGTGTTACTGACCAATTAGCAATTCCAGCTGGATCAAGCATCTGAAAATGCAAGGGGAAACTATTTCCTTTAATGATTTAGAAAAAAAGAAAGAAGAAAAGAGACTGAAAGTTGTCTTAAACTCAAACTAATAAAGCAGATATTAACTATTCTCACATGGAAAAAAGTAGGCAAATAGTGTTCATCAGAATAGCAGTTGCGTCCATATTCCATACCTGGCTGTTGCAATTGGAAAAATCGATGTCAACAAGTGGTTCAGTGAACCATATAGAAAAGTATTAACTTTTGGACAAAGTAATCCCTAGCACAAATATATTGTATTTCTATAAGTTGTCCAGAAAGAGATTTATTCTTGGGTTCATAAAATAAGTGATATAAGCCCAACCTAAACTAATCAATCACCAAATCAACCACGAAATAAGTCTTCCAGCAAAAACATAAACCCAAAGATTACAGCTATTTTCTCACATGAATAAAAGGAGTAAGAATTTGCAATGCAATTAGGAAGGGCTTATAAGCTCAGCAATATGGTATATATAAAGACCAGTTTATGAGTGAGAAACAGTTCAACTTACCTACAAAATATACCAAGAAAAACCTAAGAAATATACTCAAAATCAAAAGAAGAAGAACAAAAAGAATCTAAGTTCACCTTGCAATAATCCCTGAATTTTGTATAGTAGAGACTATCAGCCATAACTATAACCGCATGTTGCCGCTTCATTGTGAACCACTGAAATATTCAAATAAAGTCCATAATAACAAGGTAATTTAAGAACTAAACGCAGAATGTCAAACCCTAGGTCCCTCCAAAAGGAGACAATAGATGTGTGCATGAATTAAATAACTTGATGGATATGTTGGAAACTAAATCTACAAGGAGTTATTATTTGAGAAATAGATATCTTAGCTCCAAAACCTATTGCCTTTCTCCCCAGGAAGGTTCTAAGATTATGTATTGATCTCCCGCCAAAAATTATAAGCCTTTTTTTTTTCATTTCTTATTTTGCAATTACAATAAATTTAGCAATCAGAATTTCATATATGGTGGCAAAAATATCAAATATATCAGTTTGCTTCCGTTCATTAACCAATTATCCATTTCCAAAAATTGAATAATTGCCAAACTATAAATATTTCCTTATTATGAGCCAACAACCACACCTGTGCACCCTTACGAAAGTCTTTCTTTTCAACTTCAGGTAACATGTGTTCAGAATACCTCCCACTTCCATGTGGACCAGGATCCTCAAAGCTGCAAAAAAATAAAAAATAATAAAAATAAAAAGGGATTACTGCTATCCAAATATAAATTCCTTCAAAACGAAAAGCCATAAAGAAAGAATCAAACCAAACAAACCAGTATAATTAATATTTTTAGCAATATAAAACTCATTTTCAAATAGTTACTAGTTGAACTATGTTATATCTTATGGATTCATTTCACCCCTCTAACTTGCAGGGGAACCGTGCAAAATAATTATTATATTGGGGAAATCTATAAAAAATAAATAAAAATTATTACACTAGAAAATTTGGAAGAATGTATAATATGTGGTTGCTTTTATACAAAGTTAAATAAAATCTTTAACTTGAGGAGAAAAACTCATGCTAACCACTGCCAATGTAAATGAAAATATATACCTGTTTGGGCTCCATTAAAACTTTAATACATTTTTCTTCTTTTTAACCACAAATTTTTCAATAAAATAATATTACACGTAAACCCAAAAAAATTTCTTATTTTTAACCACACATTCTCCAAAGAAATTACTATTCCAAAATACATTTTTTCCAGAATCTCATTAAAATGAAGTCCAAACAGGGTCTATATTAGCCTTCAGAACTGGAAAACTACTTTTGATCAGTTTGTGTACTCAGTACTGAGTTCACATACCTATAAAATTTGCCAACCCCACAATGACTCTACAATTGGATGAATTTAAGGATAAATACAATTATTACCTCAAGGATAAATATGAACTTGATGGAAAATTATCCAGCTATTATTATTAGCCAGCAATGATACAAAAAATACCAAGCAGTATACTTTTTAGATCTTGTAATTTTTCTGAATGATGTTATGTTCTCATTTTCCTTCCATCCAACTTTTACTAAAATATTTATTTTAGACATTACATATTCCACTTTTGATGTGTAATTTAGCCCCTTTTTGAGCCAAATTTTTGTAGAATGAGAATGAAAAATATAACCGTTATTGGAGCCAAAACAAGAGATAGAAAATTTGAATTTAAATGTTGATATGATGGATAACGGTCATATTTTTCATTTTAATGAGATAATAAGGTGGCTCAAACGGGGCCTTATTATAATGTAACATTACATATTCCACTTTTGATGTGTAATTTTATTTTAGACACAAACGTGAAACTTAAAATTTTGATTTTTCTATTACAAGCAAGAAACTTCAATTTTTTTTGCATCACATAGTTTAATGAATTTGATTCCATTTTTCATATTATTTTTATTAAGCAACTAAACTAAAAATGAATCTGCTTGGTTAAGATCTTGACTGCATCATCGTAGCTACCCACAAAAGCTAATGATATGGAACAAACAGCAGGCTTGCCTGTCTATGAAGCTTGTATTTGTATACATGAGATAGTTGTACACATAGTCAAAATCACGCAATGGTATGCAACTGCATTTCAGAAAAGCATTTAATCAGTAAATGAAAAGTGACATGAGTTCTCATGGTAGAGAGAAAAAAGGACTTGACGACAATATTATCATCCAGGCACCTGTCAGATAGTAGAACAAAATGCTGGTTGTCAGGATCTTTGAGTGCATTCGATAAAAGCCTTCTTTCTGCATCAACCATTGAAATTTTTCCCCAAACTACCTGTAAATAAGAACCAGCAATATAAATGCTCAGCATTTAAGATTTTATTGTAACATGCTCAGGGGTGGACGCAGAGCTTTATAGTTAGGGGGGTACAATCGAACTTACAAAAAAAGTTATGACAAATTTTACAATCGAAAATTAACGTCCAAAAAAATCATACTCCGTGTAATTTTGCATTCGAAAATTTACATGGGATATAACTTTTTCGGGTGTAAAATTTCGAAAAATTTTGATGTTATATTTCATATAAAATTTCCTAATAAAATGATGAAACTTACATTGAGAAATTTGTATAACAAAAATAATAAATGTTAATGAAATAATTGATTTTTTTTTTTTTAAATGCGAGTTAGACGTCTTTCTTTAAAACTCACGTTTAACGTATTTTTAACTATTTT